GGTGGAACGCAGAACACGAGATGACCTGATGTTTTATATTTCTCTGTCGGGGCGGTTGGGTAGCCTAGTGGTTAAAGCGTTCTCTCGTCACGCGAAAGACCCGGGTTCGATTCCCCACATGGGTACAATGTGTGAAGCCCATTTCTGGTGTCCCCCGGCGTGATATTCCTGGAATATTGCTAAAAGCGGTGTAAAACCATACTCACTCACTCTATATCTCTGTCTTGGTCTATGGCCGTATGCAAAAGGAGACCTGATGTTTTATGTATCTCTGTGTCTCTTTGTCCACCTATGGCGGTATGCAGAACAAGGCATCCATCTGGTCAGGAATGATACACCTGACAGTTACGAGGCTTCTCATGATGTGCGCCTACTGCTGGATATCAGGCCTCGCCGGTGTCTGCACAGAATACATATAAAAGAAACAATATGAGGCAAGGCACAATCTGTTGGCTGACGGATCTCAACATGTTTCCAACGTTTCGGAACAGGTGTACCTGCATCAAGGAGGTGATCAACGAATGGGTAAAGAAATATTGTGTGCAGGGATTATTGGTACTCACTGGATATATGCAATCGTGCCTATGTTATCTTGCTCTATCCAGTTGTTGATCACTTTTGGATAACGGTACTAGCATCTGAACTGGAATGTCCTACTGTACTAATAAAGAAGTCAACCTTGTCTTCGATACAGTCAAACAATGTTCCGTAAAATGGTGTCCATTTCTAGTAAAGGTCTCAACGTTGTAATGAACGCCGTGTGTGAAATTAAGACATTATCAGTTTGAAAAATGGGTTATCGAAAACTGTGTGAGTTAGCAGACAAGTTAAAGTACGTTTCAGAACCGAATCAGATTTACTAGGAGACTATCTAGCCAGGACGTGGTGCACCATTAATTAATCTTTTCTCCAATGCTTTTCACAACATCCCTCCATGTTCAGAATACCATGTTGTACACATTCGGCATCGTCCTGAACGGGGGACTGTGGGCCTTGCAGGAGGCAGTAAGCGGCAAAGAAGGGGATAAGCAAAAGACACACCCAAACGCTGTGGTCACTTCCTCCTTAGTCGTCATGTCGTGAACAACATATTGATGCTTAACACAGTTGTCTGAGGCATGATATTTTAACACTGTTTAAATATACAAAATCTGGGTTCAGTTTTAGTATTGCCGATATTGAATTCGGCATGATGGCTTAGTGCTGACCAAACTTAACCAGAGTCACTACGTGACAAATGAACCCATGATCTGCATAATCAGTACAGTCGTTAACAACAGCAGCGCTGGGATGTGTGCTCGGTTAGTTCACACGAAGTAGACATTCTGAGGGATGTTGGTAAAATAACACAAATTCAGGATAATTTATCAGCATGGGATTCCCTATCAAGGTAATGTAATATGTCAGTAGACCCTGGATAGTTTGTGTCTCAAGCCTCTGACGTCCCTCTGGAGGTTCTGGCACTTCTTCTTCGGTGGGAGCATCTTCAACTCGTTCGTCTTCTATTCACTATCAAATAATACCCGATCGTTCTAAGTTTTCCCCATTTAGTGAGTCTGGGCGGTCTGATCCTTTCCTGTATTCATAGATGGACTGAGAGTAAGTAAAACTATGTGAGTATAAAGCTGGTGTTGCGTTTCTTTATCATGTGAGTGTGAATGCTGATAGAGACAACTTGGAGTAAGCGTCGTTAGACCAATCACTCCTTGTGCGGACAAGGCGAGTTGCAAAGTCAGGGCGTAATATAATTGACCACGATGACAAGGAACGTCAGTACTGTTAGTAACTGTAGTAGGGTCGCACTTGACGCCCGAAAGCAGTACCGACATGGTGACGATGCGGATACCAAGAGTGCCGTCGTGGACGTATTTCTTCATTCTTCTGTACATTGCTCATATTTCAAGTGAATACGCTTGCTGAAATTTATAAAACCACACACAATGACCATAGTCTTCTAGTTATATAAAGACATAAACTTAACTGTACCCACGTGTCACACGGTTTTTCCAAAGGGTTTGTTCCATTCGATGTGTAGAGTTATGTCCCTTAGACGTACCAGAAGCCTATGATACGAGTTCCCGGTTCGCCCTGAATATGTGTCTAGATTTGTCGGAATCGTACCCGTGCTCGTGCGTTTCGTCACCGTGATCAGCCTTCAAGGCCCCTTGACATATAGGTGAACTTTTGTATGGAGTAGTTGGAAACTCACTCACTCACTCACTCACTTGCTCGGTGTATTTATGCATGCGTGAAAGAAGTCTTATGCAAGACGTATACACAAAGTAAGTCATATTTCGTACAGTACGGTATGGTCGTATAACCTTATTTGCAATATGTTCAGAATCGGTAGAATGTATATACTTGTAAATCAGAGAGTGTGGGGAGGCTGAAAACTGAACGTCCTGTTGTGAAGACCTCTTTTAGGCAGACCTGTGTTGTTGTTGTTGTTGTTGTTGCTGTTGTTGCTGTTGTTGCTGGTAGATGCAGAATGTGTCGGGTATGTGCAGATACGTATTTGTAGGTGCAAATAGATTATCTAACTGACACCGATCTGCGCGTTATTTTACAGCTGACAGAGACATCTCAGGCGATGACTGCTGTTTTGCACATTGGACAAGCAGAATCCCGTTATGTCAAGCGAGGACTGTTATTGTGCACATTACATGACCAGGTGTTTGACTTTGTAGGAGGAATTACCATAGTGTCCAAAACGAATGCATGTGCCTTCTCACCAAGAATAGAAAATCTACAAATCTGAGTATATGAAAAGGTTATTCTATATTTAATTAACAAATGTTGATTTCGTTAAAGAAGGAGATGAAGAGAAAATGTATTAAATGTCAGGATACCAAAAAGCTTGAATTTTTAATTATTTTCTTTGCGGATCTTTTCCCCTGAAGACTTGAAGTCGATGGTTAAAAAAAAGAAAGAAAAAGAAGCACTTTCAAAATAATTTTTAGTTTTTCATTAGATATTAATTTTATTCATAATTCAATGTCGTGATGGCCGCAATTTTTTAAATATGAGTTTTATATACTGTGTCAGGACATGCATGAATACAATATGTGATTAGCGTTATTGCTAAATGAGACTCTGTTTTCTCCCATTCGCCTGATTTCTACGATCCAATTAATAAAGGTCACGCCGAATTGTCAACCTATTGTTGTCATGACGACATTTTGTCAATATGTGACGTGACGACATTTCTATCATTGTGCACTGGACGTCATATGATTTTAACTGACCATGTAAGTATCAGTACATGCAAGGCACTGTTGTTATTTCACGTTGTGTTTAATGTAAACGTATTTACAAAGTCAACACGTGAAACGGGCCAGTATAACCCGACTGAACACAAACTCTCAATAATCTAAATATGTTTTAGATTTTTAAAAATGAGATTAATTCGGTATTTAGAAATTTGTATGCGGGAAATACAAAATTTAAAATTTTAAGATTATGTCAATACATGTTTTACGAGAATCGTTATGATGATCATAATGTATGATAATTAAATATAAGTGAGCTTTGTTATGCATACTTTGATCAAAACGTTTGCTGTTCACATATCCACAATTTAGATGTTTCTATTGTTGTGATGGGAGACTGATGAAGTTAGTAACTTTACATTTACGTCACGCTCATACATATTTCATCTGGGATAAAAGTTATCTTTCCATCACAAGGGATAAGTATTTCAAAGTTTCAGCCATACAGGATTTTTTTTTATTGAAGAAGGTACTCATTTAATTCTTGTTGTTTAAAAAGGAAATATAATGGATTCTCAATTTCGATTGCTTTGTAAATAAATGAATTCACTTTTACAATTGGTAGAATATATCAGTAACTGAGATTGTTAGTGGATATATTCTCGAAGGGGGTTAAAGTAGTGTAAAAGTATTGTCCCCCTGAGGGTGTATATAAGACCACGTCTTTCAAAGTATATATTTCTGTCACGTTTTTAATCGTAGCACATGTGTTGTTTTAATGTTTGGCTAAATCTGTCAGCCATCGCCAACAACTGAAGGGATGATGTAAATCCGGCTGGGGCCATGCAGGTAGCAAAAGTACTGTAAGTCCCCATGGTCCCCAGTGTGGTGATCTACCTTCAGTTGGTGGCGATCTATAGCCCATTGTTATATTGTGTTGTTGAATGGTAATACATTTTTACATGCTTTTCAACTAGTTTTAAGTAAATCTGTGATATGATAGTTATTATACTGTCCTTCGATGACAGAATTCTATATAGCTTAAATATATATTATTAATGTCAAATTTTGTCTTGTCACGATGTGGCTGAAATATTGCCGATGTGTCGTTAAACTTAAACTCACTCACTCACCCACTGAAAAAGATAAAAAAGTATCACTGCTGCTTAATTTGGGCTGTACTGAGACCTGTTAATGCATTTGCTATGGCGACATACTTGGAAAGTCACTGGAAGACTGAAAAGGAGAAACTGTATATATGACACATTTATCTGAGGCTTCGAACTCACGCGGTGAAGCATGGAAGGTGAAATTGATAGCGGCTCTCAAAGAGTTACCATCCTTCCAGGTACTAGCCCAAAAGCCACTCACTTACTCACTCACTCACTCACTCACTCACTCACTCACTCACTCGCTCCTTTGCCCGCTCCCTCACTCCCTTGCCCGTTCCCTCACTCACTCACTCACTCACTCGCTCCTTTGCCCGCTCCCTCACTCCCTTGCCCGTTCCCTCCCTCGCTCCTTTGCCCGTTCCCTCCATCGCTCCTTTGCCCGTTCCCTCGCTCGCTCCCTTGCCCGCTCCCTCGCTCCCTTGCCCGCTCCCTCGCTCCCTTGCCCGTTCCCTCCCTCGCTCCTTTGCCCGCTCGCTCGCTCCCTTGCCCGTTCCCTCCCTCCCTCCCTTTCCCGTTCCCTCCCTCGCTCCCTTGCTCGTTCCCTCCCTCGCTCCCTTGCCCGCTCCATCCCTCCCTCCCTTGCCCGTTCCCTCCCTCCCTCCCTTTCCCGTTCCCTCCCTCACTCCCTTGCCCGTTCCCTCCCTCGCTCCTTTGCCCGTTCCCTCCATCGCTCCTTTGCCCGTTCCCTCCCTCGCTCCCTTGCCCGCTCCCTCGCTCCCTTGCCCGCTCCCTCGCTCCCTTGCCCGCTCCCTCGCTCCCTTGCCCGTTCCCTCCCTCGCTCCTTTGCCCGCTCGCTCGCTCCCTTGCCCGTTCCCTCCCTCCCTCCCTTTCCCGTTCCCTCCCTCGCTCCCTTGCTCGTTCCCTCCCTCGCTCCCTTGCCCGTTCCCTCCCTCACTCCCTCTCTACAAAGCAAACACGTTACAATAAAAGCATGTTTCGGTGACTGAATTGGCTTTCAATCTCCCAACTTGTCTGAACGTCAATAACTGGACAGGGAGAACAGGGGTTCCTTCTTGGCCAGTTCCTATTGTTAAGGTATGAGTCGTGACTCCATATTCCAGATTTATTTTTCCATTTTCATTTATCACCGTCAAAATGTAATCTGGATCGGTAGCGTTTTTTATATATAAAAACTCTTCTAACCTTTGCTGGTAGTGAGAGGTGACGATGGATCGGTTGGTCAGGCACGGTGACTTGAACTGTAAGTAATCCAGTCTTGACCAGACAATCCAGTGGTTGACATCATGAGCATCAATCCACGCAGTTGGGATACGATGACATGTATCAACAGTGAATATGAATGCCAAATTCCTTTCCTCCAAATTGGTATCAGCAGAACATTATACACGGAACAAGAAAAAAACAATGAGCTTTTATACGATGAACGACAACATTTATTATTTTCCAAAATATGGTGCAGTGCAATTGATACAATAGAAACTTCTCACTGTACATAAAACATAATACATAATAAGTAACACAGAGCATCACTGTGGCTCATCAACAAGGTGAGAGATGACATCATCATATCATCAAGGGCTTTATATTCTTCCTGGGACGATGGCACCACCGGCATGTAGTGAAGCAACACGACTTTACCAGCTGAAGGACAAACAATATCAGAAACAAGACACCAGTGGATACTAGCCGATGGTTTGGACGCGGTGGACCAGTCGTTTAAGGCGCTGCAATCTATTGTGTAGAGTTGCTTCCCCTACACGTGCCGGAACCCTATGACGGGGGGTTCGAATCTCAGTTACATCCTGATTATGTTTCCAGGTTTTTCAGCATCATGCTCATACATTGTGGTCTGGCTTTCATCCAACAATACTCTACCACGTCGTTGACATGACTCAAATACTGTTCAAGGCGGCGGGGAAAAACAAACATACCCAATAGTAGAAACTTGCCACCAACATATATACAAAATGTACTAGCAGCAAGGATATACAGGCAACAATTAGAAATTACTAACCTATGGTATAAACATGGAACCAAAGTATTCCAGCTAATAAATAAGAGGCTATTGTAAGCTAGTCATCAGTATATAAAAGCCACCATATTATGCTAAATACATGAAGAAATACGTCATCAACGGACACAGGATCCCTGTTTATATCAGTCATTAGTAGTTACCACTTACAAACATGGAACCAAATTATTCCTGCGAATAATTGATAGGCTAGTGTAAGCTAGTCATCAGTATATAGAAGCCACTATTTTATGCTAAACACATGAAGAAATACGTCATCAACGGACACAGGATCCCTGTGTATATCAGTCATGGTAGTTACCAGTTATAACTCCCTGGCTACACAATGCGAATTAATAATGTTAAATATACACCAGTAGTTAGTAACCCAAATACGTACTAGATCTAGACATCAGTATTATACATCACCAGTAGTTACCAGTCATACACCAGTAGTTAGCAACCACAAATACGTACTAGATCTAGACATCAGTATTATACATCACTAGTAGTTACCAGACACCAGTAGTTAGGAACCACAGATACGTACTAGATCTAGACATCAGTATTATACATCACCAGTAGTGACCAGTTATACACCAGTAGTTAGGAACCACAAATACGTACTAGATCTAGACATCAGTATTATACAATGTACATCACTAGTAGTTACCAGTTATACACCAGTAGTTAGCAACCACAAATACGTTCTAGATCTAGATCAGTATTTTACATCACCAGTAGTTACCAGTTATACACCAGTAGTTAGCAACCACAAATACGTACTAGATCTAGACATCAGTATTATACATCACCAGTAGTTACCAGTTATACACCAGTAGTTAGCAACCACAAATACGTACTAGATCTAGACATCAGTATTATAGATCACCAGTAGTTACCAGACACCAGTAGATAAAAACAACCGGAACTTCTAGAAAGCAGAACGTAAAAGCAACAGTAATCACAAGACAGCAGTGGTTATTACACATACATTTGTACAGACATCATCAGTTATGTGACATAAATTGGGACAAAACATCCCTAGATACAATACCACGGTAGAGACACAATACTAGTAGGTACAAGGCACCAGTAGTTACAATATGTTTTGGGAAGATAGACACAATTTTTATGAATAACAACTTCTTTAATACTGCTTGACAATGGTATAAGGATCTATACCGAAACGTCGCTTTTCCCAGTATTAAAGAAGTTGTTATCCATAAAAATTGTGTCTTGTCATCCGTCAACTTCGAAGTAATGCCTATCAAACAATATTTTTGGGGGTCAAGACACTAGTAGATACAATACCCTAGTTAGGGCAAGACACTAGTAGGTACAAGACGCCAGTAGATACTATAACCTAGTAGGGGCAAGACACTAGTAAGTCAAGGCACCAGAAGATACAATACCCTAGTTAGGGCAAGACACTAGTAAGTCAAGGCACCAGTAGAAACAATACCCTAGCAGGGGCAAGACACTAGTAGGTACAAGGCGCCAGAAGATACAATACTGCAGAAGTGTGAAGACACTACTAAGTACAAGGCACCAGTAGATACAATAACCTAGCAGGGGCAAGACACTAGTAGGTACAAGACGCCATCAGATACAATACCCTAGCAGGGGCAAGACATTATTAGGTACAAGACGCCAGTAGATACAATACCTTAGCAGGGGCAAGAGACTAGTATGTACAAGAAGCCAGTAGATGCAATACCCTTGTAGGGACAAAATACTATTAGGTAGAAGACGCCAGTAGATACAATACCCTTACAGGGGCAAGACGCCAGCAATTACCAGACACAGAGAGAATCTCAACCTCGTGCCTTTTGATATGTTATTTATTATCCAACATCATTCTTCCAACTTGTTTAGTTTGGAGACAGTAATAAGCAGTGTCTTAAGTAAAAAAAACAACTGCTAACAGCTTCAGTAGCAGAGCCATTAGTGATGTCATTTGTCACAATGGTCTGAAAAGAATTGTGATGCAATTGCATTGAAGCGATATCTACAATGTAGATATCGTTTGATCTCACACAAGCGATATCTCCTGTGGGACCCAGATTTTGATATAGAAATAGTTACTAGACACAAGTAGTATTGTCCCACCAGTATTTGCTAGACATCACCTGACATCAGTAGATACAACTAGGTGCTTGAGACCAGTATATGCCTGTCACCACTAGGTACAGGTGACAAGTATATGCCAGACATCAGTAGATACAACTAGGTGCTTGAGACCAGTATATGCCTGACACCACTAGGTACAGGTGTCCAGTATATGCCTGACACCACTAGGTACAGGTGACCAGTATATGCCTGACACCACTAGGTACAGGTGACCAGTATATGCCTGACACCACTAGGTACAGGTGACCAGTATATGCCTGACACCACTAGGTACAGGTGACCAGTATATGCCTGACACCACTAGTTACAGGTGACCAGTATATGCCTGACACCACTAAGTACAGGTGACCAGTATATGCCTGACACCACTAGGTACAGGTGACCAGTATATGCCTGACACCACTAGATACAGGTGACCAGTATATGCCTGACACCACTAGATACAGGTGACCAGTATATGCCTGACACCACTAGGTACAGGTGACCAGTATATGCCTGACACCACTAGATACAGGTGACCAGTATATGCCTGACACCACTAGGTACAGGTGACCAGTATATGCCTGACACCACCAGGTACAGGTGACAGGTATATGCCTGACACCACTAGGTACAGGTGACCAGTATATACCTGACACCACTAGGTACAGGTGACCAGTATATGCCTGACACCACTAGGTACAGGTGACCAGTATATGCCTGACACCACAAGGTACAGGTGACCAGTATATGACTGACACCACTAGGTACATGTGACCAGTATATGCCTGACATCAGTAGATACAACTAGGTGCTTGAGGCCAGTATATGCCTGACACCACTAGGTACAGGTGACCAGTATATGCCTGACACCACTAGGTACAGGTGACCAGTATAGGCCTGACATCAGTAGATACAACTAGGTGCTTGAGGCCAGTATGTGCCTGACACCACTAGGTAAAGGTGACCAGTATATGCCCCACACCACTAGGTACAGGTGACAAGTATATGCCTGACACCACTAGGTACGGGTGACCAGTATATGCCAGACACCACTAGGTACAGGTGACCAGTATAAGCCTGACGCCACTAAGTACAGGTGACCGGTATATGCCTGACACCACTAGGTACAGGTGACCAGTATATGCCTGTCACCACTAGGTACAGGTGACCAGTATATGCCTGACACCACTAGGTACAGGTGACCGGTATATGCCTGACACCACTAGGTACAGGTGACCAGTATATGCCCCACACCACTAGGTACAGGTGACCAGTATATGCCTGACACCACTAGGTACAGGTGACCAGTATATGCCTGACACCACTAGGTACAGGTGACCAGTATATGCCTGACACCACTAGGTACAGGTGACCAGTATATGCCTGACACCACTAGGTACAGGTGACCAGTATATGCCTGACACCACAAGGTACAGGTGACCAGTATATGCCTGACACCACTAGGTACATGTGACCAGTATATGCCTGACACCACCAGGTACAGGTGACCAGTATATGACAGACATCAGTAGATACATGTGACAGGTATATGCCTGACACCACTAGGTACAGGTGGCCAGTAAATGCCTGACACCACTAGGTACAGGTGGCCAATATATGCCTGTCACCACTAGGTACAGGTGGCCAGTATATGCCTGACACCACTAGGTACAGGTGACCAGTATATGCCTGACACCACTAGGTACAGGTGACCAGTATATGCCTGACACCACTAGGTACAGGTGACCAGTATATGCCTGACACCACAAGGTACAGGTGACCAGTATATGACAGACATCAGTAGATACACGACACCAGAAGGCACTAGACAATGGTAGATTCTAGACACAACTAGATATAACAGGAACACGTGCGGACTAGACATACGTACTTGACAAAGACATAGGTACTTGGCACCTATAGGTATTAGAGACCAGTAGGTCATATGAACCAGCAAATACGGGTTAAGCACAAGATACGAATAGATAAACTCCACTCAGAATGAGACATCAGATGGTACTAAACTCCACTAGGGATGTGACACCAGACGGTACTAAACTCCACTAAGAATGAGACACCAGACGGTACTAAACTCCACTAAGGATGAGACACCAGACGGTACTAAACTCCACTAGGGATGTGACACCAGACGGTACTAAACTCCACTAAGAATGAGACACCAGACGGTACTAAACTCCACTAAGAATGAGACACCAGACGGTACTAAACTTCACTAAGAATGAGACATCAGACGGTACTAAACTCCACTAAGAATGTGACACCAGACGGTACTAAACTCCACTAAGAATGAGACATCAGACGGTACTAAACTCCACTAAGAATGAGACACCAGACGGTTCTAAACTCCACCGAGTACTACACTTAACTGCACAAAATGGCTGTCAGTTAAATTGTTCCCAGTAGTTTGGACAGTGACACATGGTTACTGCTGTGTGGGACCTACACGGTTCTGACAGGAGTTGGGGCAAATAGCCTTCGCCGTCTCTCTGAAAGGTTTGTACAGCTTGAAGTAAAGAAATAGCTTGATGATGTAATAGGAAGAGTTAACCGCCCAGAAACCTGCCTTGACACCTTGTATCTGAACCTTGACGGAGATTACGATAAAGATGGGGATGAAGGTGAGGAGGTAGATGATGGTCGTGATGTGGATCATCTGAGATAACTGCACCTTATTCATGATGTTAGGACCTATGGTG